TCTTTTCTTTTGGATTTCCCTTGGAGGCAGTGAAAAGGGTGGTGGTGACTATGCAGGAACTTCAGTGTTGTGACCTTGATGCCCTCCTCATCTTTTATAAGAGATCTCGCAGTATCTCCCTCATTCATTTGAAATTCGCCGGTGGCAGTAGTGGTGGGAGAGCCTGGCTAACTGTTCCCCAAATGCCCTACTGTTTACAAATTGCTGGAGTAACTCATGGTGCTTCTTACACTTTTAGGGAATAGATCTGTGGTGTATATACGAGATCTGTGCCCTTGAGATTCAAGGAAAAGTGCAGGAGATAGCAGACCTATTCTAAACTACACCACTGAACACCCTTTTGTGATTGATTAAAACTGTCACTCTCCACTAAATTTTTAGAGTTTTCCATTCGTAATACAGCTGACATTTATCTCCATCTAGTACTTTTTCATTCTCTTTTCTTTAGGTACTTTGTTTTTCCTGTATTTTATACTTTTTGTTTATTTCTGTAGCAGCGCTGCCCCAGTCTCTGTGATGACCAAAATGTTCTCTTTTTGCACTATTCCTCGTGGTAACTACCTACTTCAGATGGCCATTGAGCACTTAAATTGTGATTTGTGCCAGTAAGGGACCGAATAGTAATTCAAAGTACTGAAACAAATCTTGTAGAATGTTGGCAAATACATATCATTAAAGCTAAAGGAGTTCTTTGCTTTTTCAGGTGGTTGATTTACTGAGATATTTCTCCTGGGCTGAACCTCAGTTAAAGGCAATGAAAGCATTACAACATGTAAGTAACCCACATTTCTTTAGAATGAAGAATTTAAGTATCTTGAATTCTCCCCTTGTTTTCTATAATTGATCTCAGGTTGTAATTTGTTTGCATTAGAAAAACTAATCCTAAGTTTTATTATACTTTGATTAATCAAATAATTGTTAAAAAAATTAAGACTCCCCAAACTGTGAATTTAAATTGTATGTACCTTATTAAGTTGTGAACCATAGGATCCTAATTGGCAGATTGGAAGAGAAAATATTTATAGGCAAACAAAATATAGAATTTGAATTTTCTTTTATAGTTTATTTCTTTTGAGAGAGAGAGAGAGAGAGAGAGTGCAAGCAGGGGAGGGGCAGAGAGAAAGGGGGGAGAGAGAGAGAGAGAGAGAGAGAGAATCTCGAGCAGGCCCCCCCTGCTGTCAGCCTGGAGCCCGGTGCAGGGCTTAAACTCAATAAACTGAAATCATGACCTGAGCCAAAACCAAGAGTTGGACGCTTAACCGACTGAGCCACCCAGATGCCCCTAGAATTTGAATTCTTATTTTTTTTAAAGCTTATTTATTTTTTTGAGAGAGAGAGAGACAGAGCGTGAGTGGGGGAGAGGCAGAGAGAAAGGGAGACACAGAATCTAAAGCAGGCAGACCTGGCTTGGCGCTCAAACTCATGAACCACAAGATCATGACCCGGCCGCTTAACCGACTGAGCCACCCAGGCACCCCTAGAATTTGAATTGTTAAGTGTTTTTGTGTACGTCCTTCAAATTTTTGATATCTTTATCCTTTTGTATTTAGTTTTAGAACAGTAGTCAGTTGGGTTTATATTTATAATTCTTTAGACCAACACTGTCCAAATGGAACTTCCAGCGATGATGGAAGAGTTCTGTATCTCTGCTGTCCAGTCTGGTAACCACTGAACACATGTGGCTTTTGAGCACCTAATGTGTCTGGTCTGCCTGTGGAACTGTATTATTTCTTTCATTTTAATTTAAATAGACACGTGCCTAGTGGCTACTGTATGGCCAGCACAGTGCTGGAGCCTAAATTAAAGGAGACATTTAAGTCAAATAGTATCTGGCTATGTAGGAAGATTCTCCTCGGAGGATCAGGCACAGATAGCTTTAAGGAAATTTACAGTTCCTTAGCTTCCTAAACTAATTTGGCAAAGAAAGTGTCTGGATGTGTTAGTGTTTCTCCTCTTTAACAATTTTTTTTTTTTAACTTTATAAAAAAAAAGGTTATCTCACCCATCCACCCATCACCCCAGGGTGAAAATCTTTTCCCCAAGGACCCAAGAGACCAGTAATTTCCTAAGAGGGAGAGCAAAGCAGAGAGGTTTTGTAAGAAATACTGATGGGGACCTCACCTTATTTTATTAAGACGAAAAATTCATGACAAAGCTCTGAGGCCTGCTTACTTGGACCTACCTTAAAATTAAAATTCTAAGGTATTTAGAGGCGAAAGGCTAGCATGGGCACAACTTAATGAGTCCAGTCTTTTCTGACAAAGTCAGTCTGATTTGGTTGTTTTCACAGAGGACTGATCTTGACAATTAGGTTATACAATAGACATTTTCATAAATGAAGTGAACTAAATCAGTAGTTCCAAAGTTTTTACAAATATATAACGAAGATAAATAAATCAATTTTTGTAAATATTTAAACTTGTAGCATAGTTTTTAGATGTCCATTTAAAGACTTGCAAAAGGGGGGCGCCTGGGTGGCGCAGTCGGTTAAGCGTCCGACTTCAGCCAGGTCACGATCTCGCGGTCCGTGAGTTCGAGCCCCGCGTCAGGCTCTGGGCTGATGGCTCGGAGCCTGGAGCCTGTTTCCGATTCTGTGTCTCCCTCTCTCTCTGCCCCTCCCCCGTTCATGCTCTGTCTCTCTCTGTCCCAAAAATAAATAAAAAATAAATAAATAAATAAATAAATAAAAAATTTTAAAGACTTGCAAAAGGGTATATAGTTAAACCAATTCTCTTGGTGCTAACCTGGATAAAATTGTCTGAAAACCACTGCTCTAAATTGTAGGAATCTAGGGGCGCCTGGCTGGCTCAGTCGGTTGAGCGTCCGACTTATCTTGCGGTTTGTGGGTTCGAGCCCCGCGTCGGGCTCTGTGCTGACAACTCAGAGCCTGGAGCCTGCTTCGGATTCTGTGTCTCCCTCTCTATCTGCCCCTCCCTCACTCCTGCTCTCTCTGTCTCTCAAAAATAAATAAATGTAAAAAAAAAAAAAATTTAAATTGTAGGAATCTATTGGGCAGTGATTCTAAATGATCTGGCATTGACTTTCCTTTGAATTCCATCCACTGTTAACATAAATCTGTAAATTGGCTGAATCTTATCTTCAAAAACAAAAGTACCCTAGTCAAATTATGTAACATTGCACACAATCTTGGAGTGTCACAGTGCACGTTATTGTAAGACTCCTAAGAAAGTTCTGCAGTAAAGTTCTGTTTAGGGGTGCCTGGGTGGCATCTGACTCTTGATTTAGGCTCAGATCATGATGCCACGGTTCATGGGGTCAAGTCCTGAGCAGGGCTCTGCGCTGACAGTCCCTGTTTGGGATTCTCTCTCTCCCTCTCTGTCTGCCCCTCCCCCTGCTCACACACGTGCACACTCGTACTGTTTAACCTGTCCTTTCCCTACCTGAGGTGACTCTGCTGTCCCCCTATCTTAGTAACAGTATTCAGCACGTGGACATCACTTTAGGAATCCCTGATTATAGACTACTTGGTGTTCTAGCTGAGGAATGTAGTTTTTTTTCTAACTTCTCAAGCCAAGTATTTCCCATATTTATAAATACCCCCTTTTTTGTGACCTTTCTGAGAAAAGTAGTATATGTAAGTATTTTTTTCTATAAATGAATCCACTGAGAAATGATAAGAAAGAGTGCATGGGGAACTTAGGTCTTCAACTGAAATGGTTATGTAGAAAAAGCCTGAGTTGAAGTCACATGGTTGTTAGGGCTTACTTTTAAGTAAGCAGTTTTACCTCAAATATTTACATTAAGAACATTTAACCATGTTTCCCTAAAAAAGGCAATTTCTGGCATGAAAACTTGACATGTTGAAAACAACATTATTTTTTATATTAATAGAAAATGGTGGCTGTTCACCCAGCAGAAGTGGTCCATATTCTCAATTGTTTCACCTTCAGTAAAGACAAGCTAGTTGCTCTTGAGCTGTTAGCTTCGTAAGTATTTCATTTTCTTGTTACTTCATTGGAGAAAATTTGGAAAACTTTTTAAATCTTTTTTAACTCATTAGTGTGTGTTAGAATTTTATTAGCAAATGGAACTCTAATAAAATCTGTGAAAGTGTAGACTGAATTTTTTATATCTAAATATCTAGTGTACTTATTACACGTGGTTATACCTTAGAGAATAACAGGCCATGCTGAGATTATTTGTTTGGTTTGTCCGCATTTCAGTGACTTCCATTGCCTTCCTACTCTGAATAGTTTGAAAGGCTCATTGAGAAAGCTCCGGGTTTGTGGTTAGGTTCTGCCACATTCTGATCAGCATGTTTTTTTTGGCTTGATACGTACTTACTCTTTATGGACCTTATTTTCCTCGGGTGTAAAGATAAGGATCTCACCTACTCGGTAGGATATGTGAACTTTTGATACTGTAAGATATGTGAAAGCACTCAGCACTGCATGGAGTAAGTGACTGTGATGAATGTCAGCTCAAGGAGAAAAGAGCCTGCTGTTCTGCAAGATGGAACAGTCTGTAGGTTGCTGTTTATTTCGAGCACGTGCATTTTGAAGTGCAATAAGGGACTTGTATACCATATAACATATGGAACTTACAACCGACAAGTGTTTTGTAGATGTGCACAAAAATACAAAATTAAAGCACAAGGTAAGCTTCAGTTTTAGATCAACCATGACTCTTATGCATTTTGCCACATAGGTTTTTTTTTTTTCTGTTGCCTTAGATCTCCTGCTACTCCTCGTGAGGGGACGTTTTCAAAGAATCTCAGAATGGTGCTCTTTATTGAATTACTTTGTTACTTTTAGGTAACCAGATGAGCCTCAGCTCAGTTATATTTATCAATTTTCTGTAAGCATGTTGTTTATATTCACCAATTAAAACGAAATAATCACTTTTCTCCCTGTGTCATTGGGGAGACGCTTACCCAGGTAGAGTTGTATGGTAAAGATTGTGGCCTTTGTATTGTATGTCCAGGTTCTTAAAAGCTAAATTGCATTTCCTTGGTAGAAACATTGTTGATGCACAGAATTCTCGTCCCATTGAAGATTTATTCAGGATAAATATGTCTGAGAAGAAACGGTGCAAAAGAGTACTTGAACAGGTAATTTTCTCAAGATTGCTCTATAAATAGAACACTGGGTTCTTCTGAACGTTGATGAAAAAGTACAGTCTTATTCCCGTGTTTCTGTGACAAATGACCTGACTGCTCTTGTGCGATGGGTCAAGAATGACAGCCCTACAGTCCGTGGAGGATGAGAGCTGGGTGAAGGGGGTACTGGTGGATGAGGAAATGGCTTGAGAGTGACGTATTCAGCTCCTCAGCTTAAGCCTCAGTCGGTATTTGGTCTCCATCCCCTAGTAGCTTTGCCATGCCTCCAAGCTTTTGCCTTTAATCTTCTGTAATTGTGAATGTGATGTTTTAAATTTGTATTGTTATCAGTCTTTTTTTTTAACTTGAAAGAAAAATTTTTTTAATGTTTATTTATTTTTGAGAAAGAGAGGGACAGAGCACGAGTTGGGGAGGGGTGGGAGGGCACAGAGAGAGAGGGAGACACAGAATCTGAACAGGCTCCAGGCTCGGAGCCGTCAGCACAGAGCCCGACGCAGGCCTTGAACCCACAAACCACGGGGTCTTGACCTGAGCCAATGTTAGAAGATTAACCGACTGAGCCACCCAGGCGCCCCTCATTGTCATCAGTCTTACGTTAATCAGATCTAAGAGATAGATAATGAAGCAGAATTCCAGTTTACTACTTTAAAATCTCAAGAATGGAAGAAGGAGTACTTACTGAAACCTACTTGACTTGTTACTTAAGGTATTTGTTTCTTAAGATCGTGATGGCTGGAAACTGAATTAATGACTAAAAACCTGCTTGAGGAAGATGCAGACTCCTCTCCTGGGGCCTGACTGCCGAGGCACATTAAATCTTGCAGCCTCTGCTAAGCTCAGAGCCAGCAGAAAACTTCACCTTACTCATGAACTATTGGAGCAGAAGCAAGATCTGAGCCCACAGTTCTAACGTTAATAACTTGTTCATTGGTTCTCTTGACGAAATTCTTTAAGGCACACTGCATTTACTGCTGTTGTTTTCTTCCATATAAAGCATTCTGATCAGGTCACTTTTCCTTCTCAGAAGTAACATGGGCCTGAGTATTCTGTGGAATAGGCTGTCTAGTCAATGTAAGTTAGTACAACTTCTCTGGAAGGTAAACTAGGAGAGCCTTAAAGTGTTCATGCCTTTTGACCCCAAAACTCTATTACTAGGAATTTATTCCAAGGAAATAAGTATATACCAATTTGTATGTAAGGGTATTTACCCTGGTACTATTTATAAAAAGCAAAAATTGAGATAATTTTTAGGGTGGGATTATATAGCCAATTACATGTGTTGTGAGTGAATTTATAAAACCAATATACTTCTGCAACAGAATATGTGACATCGTGCGTAGCTGTAAAATACAGCCATATATAACTTCATACCCCTGTAACGTAATATGGGTCTCTTGGGATATATGTCGCCTAATGTAGTGTTTTTCATTCATTTAATATTTATTGAGTATGAATTCAAGACTGGTTAGTGTACCATTGTAGAAGCTGAGAATGCAGTAATAAGCCAGAACATCCCTCATTGTGTCTCATGACTATGGAACACTATGATGAATGCAGTTTGCCCAGATATCTCTTGCTTTTTCAACAGTACAGCTCTTTGGATACCCAGTGTCCCTCCCATGTTACTTGCTTGTGTTTTCTCCACCAAGTTACACGTGTCTTCAGAGCAGACCCATGTCCGTGTCATCTGTTGCTCTCTTTGCCTCACCTGTAACATAAGCTTGGCATTTGTAGAGTTGGACGAAGTTATTTCTTGGTCATTGGAGAAATGGGACACGTTAAATAGTAAATGAACTTTTTTGCGCACAATTTGCAAAACCTCCTGTGGAGATATCTTTGTGTAGGAGTCTGTTCGTTGTGACCAATAGAAAGCTAATTAAACACATGTTACCGTTTGAGTAATTCCATTGAAATAAAATGATTTTACTAAAGAATTTTGGTCATGTTCACTACTGTAAGTGCTGATGAATGTATGAACAGATTAATGTGATGCTGTTCCTCAGTTCATGTTTTTTAACGGGTCTTCCTAATACCCAGAATACTTAGCCTATGAGTTTGTTTTTTGTTTTTTAACAACCCTCTTTTTTTGTTACAGGCTTTCAAGGGGGGCTGCAAAGCTCCTCATGCCATGATATCTTCTTGTGGAACAATCCCAGGAAATCCATATCCCAAAGGAAAACCTAGTCGCATAAATGGAATTTTCCCAGTAAGTATATGTTTGTGACTATGGAAACTTCTTGTGGCTAAGTATGAAATTTAGCATAGTTAAGACATTTAAAGAAAATACCAGTTGATGATGCTTCTACCAAGGAAAGGAAATTTATTACGTTGGCAGCTTAATTCATGGATTCCTTACTGATGGAAAGTTCAGACTACGTTAAAGTACGCGTGTCAAATGTATAGAAAACAAGCCAAACAGAAAAGAGGATGAGTTTGTTTTGTTAGAAGCACTTATTTGCACTTAATAAAGGACCATTTCTCATATTCTCAGTGTTCCTCGGTTTCACAATTAAGTGTGTTTGGAAAATTATGTGCAATGTTTCCTTCCTGGAGAGTCACACTGCATGCTAAAGGCTCTGAGAAGTCCTGTAGGAAAAAAAATTTGTTTTGATACCAACCGGTGTTCCTCAAATGTCTTTATAAGATAATCTTTTCAAAGAATGGTATATATTTTTTGTGCTATAACAAATAACCCTAAAACTCAGTGGATTAAAACAGTGGATTAAAACAGCCTCTCTCAGTGGGGAGAGGCTTAGATTGGTTCTGGCTCAGAGTTTCTCATGAGGATATAGTCATCAGAAGACTCCATTAGAGCTTGAAACTCTGCTCCCAAGGGGATTCGTGTACACGCCTGACAAGTTAGTGTTGGTCGTTGGTGGGGGTCTTTGTTCCTTACCATAAGGACTTTCCTGTAGTGCTGCTTGAATACCTCATGACCTGGTAGCTGACTTCCATCAGAGCAAATAATCCAGGAGAAAGCAAGTGGAAGCTGTGTTATCTCTTAGGACATAGTCTTGGAAGTCAAATTGCCATCATTGCTGGAATACCCTATTGTTACACAGGTCAGCTCTGTTCATTCTGGAAGGGAACTTCACAAGGGCATACAGGATGTGGGGACCTCTGGGAGCCATCTTGGAAGTTGGCTTCCTTACTAGTATGTACCATTTAGGGACACACCCTTAGGAGGATGCATCGTAATAGTCTGTCCGCTCATGCTGATCTGTTAATAATAGCAGTCTTGAATGAGGTCTCACTTATTCTTGAGTAATGTAAACTATCACACTTAATGCTTATTGAGAACATCATTTTTTATCATCTATTTTTGATTGTAATATAGGTACTCTTTTTGATCCTTTGACCGTTACACATACCTAGGCATGGAAGTCTTGTTTCTGGTTGCTCCATTTGTGGAGGGGAAAAATTAAAACCTACTTCATTCTGCTCTCCTGTCATCCTCATGTGTATTGCGTGCTTCTGGGTGCCTGTACATGTTGTGAGGGTTCTATGGCAGAGGAAGGCTGAGGACCTTAACAGGGTCTTAAAGCCAAGTCAGGATTGGATCTGGAATCCAGGTCCTTATCCTACCGTGTTCAATCCTTTTCTTCAGTGTAATACTGTGAGGGATTTGTTTTGGTTTTGCTTTGAGGTGATTTTTTCTTTTTAAGTCTCAATTCTTTTCTATTTATTTATTTGCTTACTTACATACATACATACATATTTATTTACATATTTACGTATTTATTTAAATAGGGAACTCCCTTGAAAAAAGATGGTGAAGAATGTACTAATGAAGGCAAAGGAATAGCCGCACGGATTCTTGGTCCATCTAAACCGGTATGTGTAGAGAAGAAATGATGAAACAGGTCTTAACTCTTACATGTAGTTTTCTGTCTGTCCACAGCAGACAGCATAAATTCTGTTTTTGTGTTGTAAAGTTTAGAGTATACCAGAAACTCCAGGAAAGTGAAGGGTCTAGGGAAATAAAAAAGCATAATTAGTTAACAGTGTTAAGGGCCATTCTGAGGTTCCGTGTTTTATTTCAAAGCGAGACCAGTCAAATTTGTTTTGTTTTGTTTTGTTTTGTTTTGTTTTGCTGTCCCTATTCACCTGTTCCCTTGCAGGAGTGGAGTCTGGAGACCTTTAAGGTTGTGGCCAAATGAGTGTTACTGGTGAAGCAAGAGCGGAGCCAGGAGGCTGAGGGTATTTTTAAGGGAGTGATTTTAATGATTGGTTAGGATATAAACTAAACCCACAGATGACCCTGCAGGTTGAAGGATTGTTCGAGTTGAAGTGGCTGAGGCCTTCACACAGCTGTCTTGCGGTCCCTGCTTGTTTACATGACAGGAATTCCAGTGGCCGTTGTTTATAGCAAAACAGTCACAGATCATAGTCCTTGCACAAGACTAGTGCATCTTACTGGGCTGCCGTGTATGAGAACTAGGAAGAATCTAGGTCTTTTACTACCAATGGATGCCCTCTGCCTCAAGAGCATGAGTGCGAGATTCCCCGAAGTGGGGTCCCTCTCTCGCTCACTGTAGTGAAAAATACAACGTTTGGCGTAGCTTCAGATACCTCTGGCTTTCTAGAGACCAGCTGAACTGTAAAATAAAAGAGTTGAGGATTTCAAAAGGCAAGAAGACCAAAACACCGAATTCATAGTCCCCCCCCCACCCCCAATCCACGTTCTCCTGGAGTTGTCAGAGTGCTGAATGCTAACGGATATGGTGCTTTTTTTTTCCCAAGGTGACAAGAGGGTGAGAATGATAACATGAATCTCTGATGAGTTTAGGAGGATGTTGGAAGTTCTTGGGTAGCCAAGGCTCCAAAACCTAGCGGAATTCTTGTGTGACAGAAGAGGAGCTAGGAATTCTCACATTAACCTCTACTGGGTCAGAGAGGAGTTTGCTATTTTGGAGAAGAGCTGACCCTTCATGAGAGAGGATTTAACACGGAAATAAAAAACACCTCTACAGCAGTCTTTGGCAGCATCTGCCTTTGGAAATTATAGGAACCACATTTATTCGAGCAAAGACATTTCCCTGATTTTGTGCCGCGTATCGCTCCAGTAGCCTTTGATATACTGGAGCATTTTTAGCCTCTTAGTACTAAATATGTCAAAAGACGAGTTGTATTCTGTTTTGCAGGGAGGCTCCTGACTTAGTTTTCTTCTAACTGCTGTACTTCCCCTTCGTCTAGCCTCCTCCAACATACAATCCACATAAGCCGGTCCCTTATCCGATACCTCCGTGCCGGCCACACGCAACTATCGCACCAAGTAAGCAGCAGTTCATACGTTTTTTACTTTTTCTTCTTTTTGCCCTTTATTCTTAAGTTGAAAGTAAATGTTGGTGTATGTACTTGGGAAAATTGGAGCACTTCTGAAATACGCTCTGATGAGTCTCATTCTGCCCACAGTGCCTTGGTCTACAGCCGCGCAGCAGCCAGTTTAGTTTAGGGCATTTACTTTTTGGTAAATTAATTATAGATTCTTTTTAATCATTATGAGTTTTTGCTTTGGTGAATCATCTTGAATCCCATTTCAGTAGTTGGTTTTCAAAGGTATCCTCAACTGTGTGTGCTTGACAGAAGAGGCAGATCATTTAAGTACGGCGGGATCTGCCCGCCCTGCCGTTCAGTGAGCTCATGTCCGGAATGAGCCTGCAGTGGGAAATCACAATCTCCAGTTGTCTCATGTGATCTCAGCTTTCTCCTAACAGTAGACCCAAACCGCCACGTGAAAGGCAACTCTATTACGTAACAGTTTTAAAGATTAGATAGCTGTGTTAATACGGTTTGAACTCGTGGCCACAGAATGATACTAAATTATGGTTTTTTCCTCTAATTTTATTTTAGGTGCTTATAACAATGCAGGTCTGGTACCATTAGCCAACGTCATAGCTCCGGGTGTCCCCCCTCCGCCTCCATATACTCCTAATCCAGTAGGAACAGGTAAAATCGTGTTGTTACGGGATGTTAAAAGTAAGAGCTTACTTAGACACAAATGTACACTGGAGGGAACAGTTGTTTGCCGTGGTGTGTCCTAACGGGAGAACGAGCTCACCCTGATGATGGATGAGTGTGATGTGCAGGTTCTACCAGAGCGGCCTTGGCCCACCTGTGCGAACATGAGCGAGCTAGAGACAGAGGAACGAGGAACAGTTGCGCGTGAGCAAGAAACTTTGAGAGGCTGTAGAAGAGTACAGTTGACTTAATGAGTATTACCGTTTGGGCACATCACTCCTATGTGGGGAGGAAAAGCTTGTATGAAGGTGCTCAGAGGGGCTTAAACCTCCCCTGGGTTTTCAGTTCACCATTTTCCTTTGAGTCTGTAGGGAACATGGGATTTAGCCTATATTTTCATTTGTGTTCTTTCACAAAAATGTAATATTTCACTTAGGTATTGTTTATTTGACTCCTCTGAGTTTTGTCTTGCTAAGGAAACCCTTCCCCATCCCGGCAGTATGAAAATGTCATCTGTATTCGCTAATTACTTTTATAGGGACTCTTTCTTAACATATAGCTTTTAATCTACTCACGATTTATTTCTAGATATGTGTAGGGTAGGGATAGAACTTAATTTTTTTTTTCTATCCTTCTCAGAGACCCAGAGTTACTTAATACCATTTATTAACAAATTCTTTTTTAATCACTAGAGTGGTTCTGTTGTTTGCAGGCAGGTACTCCGATGAGAGTTGCTAAACAGTTTTTTCCAAAATTATCATTTTATTTCTTACCCTTGTTTATGGTACCTTTAGCCTTTAGAGTTTTGTATTTTTGCATAGACAAAGAGAGGCTAGGAAAGAAAAGCTGGAACTGTTTTATCTTGTTTCAGATCTTCTTAACCCTGGGCAGTCCAGGTTATCCGGGTCTTGTAAGACTCTTACGGCATCTGGAATTTATTTTCATGTAGGGGTGAAATAGAGGGTCTTCTTAATTTTTTTCCAGAGAGTAGCCCGTCATGCCAGCACCATTTATTAACTAATCTGTGTTCCCCATTGATTTGAAAGATGCAGTTGTCTTAAGTTTTCATATACACATGTGGTTCTAATTCTGGATTCTTTATTCTGTTCCAGTCTAGTTATTTTATGTTATGATGATATGTTGATTTGATTAGCAGATTTATAGTGTGTTCTGATATCTGGTAAGGCTAGCTTTCTCTTACTATATTTTCTATTTTTCTTACTATATTTGGAAATTTTTTTTATCTGAACATGATCATTTTATGCAGTTAAAAACAGTTGAATGTATGTGTACATGTATATATATATATATATTTATAGTTACAGATATTAATGTTATATAATTTTATATCATTAATTATACATATAATTAATATGTAATTATATAATATATACAGTTATATAAATTTAGAGAGATCTGACATTTTTATGATATTAAGTCTTACTGTTCAATCCTGTGTCTGTCTTTATGTCAGGTGGTAGTGATTTTCCCCCAGGGCATATTTTATCTCTTTGAAGATTTTATAGTTTTCTTTATATAGGTTCTTTGCCTTAGGTTTGTCTCTAGGGATTTTAAAGGTATTTTTTATTAAAATTATAAATGGAATATTTCATTTGTACGTGCTTATTACTAATTACTTATTCTACTTTTTTTTCTTGAAAGTTTCTTGAGTTTTCTAGGTATAAAAAAAATGTCATCTGAGTTATACTTTAAGATAGTTCTTTCTTGCGTGGTGTTATTGGGTATTGTCCTTTTTGTTTTCATATTGTAGAAATAACGTTATTTGATTTTATGTTTATGTTTACTTTTAATTTTTATTTTAGGGTTTTATTTTGTTGTTAGGTTAGTTGGTTTATAGATTACATATAGCTGGATTCTGATTTTTAAACCGGTGGGAATGAGGCTTAATAGGCATTTTCAGTCATCATATCATAAAAATTGCATATTTGTTCTTAGTCCTTCCATTTTATTTTTGTATTCATTATTAATCTTTTGTCCCAGTTTTTCATTTCCCTTACTTTTGTTTACTTGTATTGGTCACACTGCTGTTTTATTTTTAATAGCTCCTCTCGCCTTACCCCACCCAAACTTAGAACTTTTGATCACTAGTGATTACTTTGTATTGTTAATGGTTGTCAGTATACAAAAACTTAAGAAAGCTGCTCCCTGCTCCACTGGCTTCTCTCTCACTCTCCTTTTTCATCAGTATGTGTGTTTTGTTGGAATACCATACGTGTTTCCTTCTGGGCCTCTGAACTTAACGGCCTCTTACTACTTCCTCTGTTCTCTGATCCTCGGTCCTGATGTGCTCATTGTGCTTTTCTGTGAGCAGAAAATTTCTCTAAGTACTTTTTAAAAAGGGCACATATACAGAGTTGTAGATGAAAAACCCAATTCCAGTTAACTTTCTCTTCTTTTTTTTTTTTTTTTTTTTAATTTTTTTTTAACGTTTATTTATTTTTTTGGGACAGAGAGAGACAGAGCATGAACGGGGGAGGGGCAGAGAGAGAGGGAGACACAGAATCGGAAACAGGGTCCAGGCTCTGAGCCATCGGCCCAGAGCCCGACGCGGGGCTCGAACTCACGGACCGTGAGATCGTGACCTGGCTAAAGTCGGACGCTTAACCGACTGCGCCACCCAGGCGCCCCTAACTTTCTCTTCTTTATTAGAACCTCAGTCTCCTTCTGTAAGCTTGCAAAGAAAATATTCCTTATCTTTCAAATTCAGAAGTGTCTTTGATCTTGGAGTTCAGCTATTTCGTCAGGATGTCTAGGTGTGGATCTTAGCATTAATCTTTCACAGAACTCTGTAAGCCCTTTAGATAGGAAAATTCAAGTCTTTAAAGCTTAGGAAAATTTTGTTCTCATTATTCCATTAGTTACTGCTTTTTCATCTGTTCTTTCTTTCTCCTTCTGGTACTTTTATTTTGCACTGTATTTGTTTTCTAAGTCTCTTACCTATGTATTTATATATCCTCTTTTTTTGTTGTATTTTTACCATTTTAAGTGTGACTTTGTTGTCGTTTCTTATTCCCAACTAAGCAAGTTAGCTTTTATAATGTTATTTCTAATCTTCACCATTCTTTACATCTATTGATTTGGAATCAGATTTCTATATCTAAACGTTCACCTTCCCTGCTTATATTTTCTTGCATATTATGTGTGTGTGTGTATGTGTTCTCAGTTTGCATTACAAGTTTTTAAAGATTTTTTTTCCTTTCATTGAATCTTTATTGATAGACACCATATGTTGTGGTTGTTTATTTGTACCAGGTTCCTTAGCCAAGCTATGATCTTTTTTTGCTCACCACGTCAGAGCTTGCAGGTTCCTTCTGCGCCTTGTATATGTCCCACTGTTTGTTTCTTGGGCATTTACTGTCAAGCTATGAGGTAATTTTCTTCCCGTTGAATCTTTGACTGATGGTCTAGTTAGGTCCTTTCCCGGGGGTGTGGGGGGGGGGGGGGGGGGGGGGGGGGGGGGGGGGAGTGTGCTCTTGGGTCCGTGTCACAGGCTTCAAGTCTACCTCCATTAGGGTGGTTCTCGGCAGCTCCTAGCATAGGGCCTTTTGCAGAAGTGTGAGTGCAACAGGAAAGCAGGGCCCCTTTCTTTCTGTTTGCTTGGATCGTCACACGGCCTGTGAGATCGCTCCCTCAGGTGGCAGTGGATTCTGTGCTCGGCATCCATTTCCCACCTCTAAGTCCTCCTGCACTTGCTCCTGGGTGGCAGTCTCAGGCCATCACCTTTCCGGAAAGTGTTTTTAAATATGTCTGCAAAATATCAATGGTGATTTAAAGCCCGATAAGTTAAGGAGAAGTGGTGGGGGACGGAGGTTAGGGGTCAGTTGCTCATGATGCTGTCAATCTTCACTATAGTTACTACCATTGTCTCCATTTCCTTTCTCTCTCTATAAGCGTACGTTGTTTTTCCTAACATAGAATGCATCCACATCCTGAGCTTTTCTTTTTTTGATGCCAATCTCTGGTTATTATGGTGGTGATTAACTTGAATAAAACTTGAAATCAACCTTTTTATTGATTTATTTTCATATAGAAAATGAAGACCTTTCCAGTCAGTCAAAACCTACACAGAATCAAAGTAAGTACCAAATTTGCTCCAGACATAGCTGAAGTCTGTCCCGGTTTTCTGCTCCGTTACCCACTGACAACAGTTTGAATTGAATGTATCTGGAATCTATGCTTTGGGGAAAGTTCCTACTTAACGAATTTAATCAATACTCGCTAAAAGTTGCTTGATAGTGGTACCTTATATACACAAGGAAACGTATATATTAACTGGGTTTAAAATTAACCATATGCCCTTGTGTCTTATGTGAAAAACTTGCAATATAATGGGAGTGCTATGTGGCATTACGTTCCACATTCACTTTACATTATGTAATATTAGAAACCTCATTTTTGTTTTGATAGAAACACATAAGGTTTTTGATAAAAACCCTGTTTTCCAAAAGCTATTTTAAGTACTCGTTTCAGATTTCATTATTTTCATAAGTATTAGGGGTAGCGTAGTTTAGTGTAGAACAAAAAGTAAGGGTTGCCAAAGCAGAAAGTGGAATTGAAAAAGGAAGATGGAAAATGTCGCCAGCACGATGCCTGCAGGGGGCAGTAGAGCCACAACATTTTCTTCTTCCTCTGGATGAGGATCTTTGTGGTCAGGAAGGAGATGCAAGCCCTCTGGTAGGAGACAAAACTTGGGCTCGGTTCTTGTGTAGCAAAGCAGCACATGAATCTAATCATTAGAGGGCATAGTTAGGAGCCTCTGTGGGAGAGTTCTCGCCCCTGAGCAGGGTGTCTAAACCGGGCTTTTTAGCTGTGGCTTCTAAAGGAGGTATCATAATGGGCTGGAAAACACTGAGATGTTAGGGCATCGTTTTCTTATCCTGGCTCTGGTGCTGCCTAGCTTTGTGACCATATCATTTACCTTCTATGAAATGGAGGTTAAGGAAACTTGAGCCTTAATGTTCAGCTTCACTAACCTATTTTTGAAGGGAGTTAAGAGGCATAAGAACCAACGTTAGGAATAGCATACCTTGATTTCCTATGTTGTGAATGTTAGCATGATATTAAGATTTTATTTGCCTTTTGAATAATATCAAGAAACGAAAAGATAAACTAGGATAGTGGTTAAGGATGTGGGTCTGGGGTTCAAATTTTGGTTCTATCACTTAATAGCTGCATGACCCTTTTAAAATTATTATGATGATAAGATCTCAAAGAGATCTACCCTCTTAAATTTTTTAGTACACAATACAGCATTGTTAACTGTAGGCATAGTGTTATACAACAGATTTCTGGAAATTATTTATTAGCTTGCATAACTGAAACTTTATTCTCTATCTTTTTAAGTTTACTAACTTATTTTGAGAGGGAGACGGCACGCATGTGTCCATGGGAGCGGGTGAGGGGCAGAGAGAGAGGGAGCGAGAATCCCAGACAGGCTCCATGCTGTTGTGCAGATCCTGGGCACGGGGCTTGAACTCACGAACCATGAGATCATGACCTGAGCCAAGATAAGAGTCGGACACCCAACCGACTGAGCCACCCAGGTGCCCTGAACCTTAATTCCCTTTGAAAACTACTTAATAGCTATATGATCTTCTAACAAATTGCTTTAACCACACCAAGCTGCAGATTGCCCGTCTGTAAGATGGGGTTTTTAGTACCAATCTCAGAGGGTTATGTGAGGACAAATGAAATGACAGACATAAAGTACTTGGCACAGTATCTACTGTTTTATGGTTGACACCCAAATTACGTGACAGGAAAGTAGTATTTATCATGGTATATTTTTGGAGTTTTTTCGATTTGTTGTTGTTTTGTCACATTTTAACTATAGGCACTACGATCAACAGTGCATGACTTTTGCTCTGTTATATAAAAAGATCTCCAGTCTTTTGGAGGCTGCTATAAAGAATGCTGTGGGACAGTTTGGTCTTATCTTATGATCAGTCATTAACTGCATGGTCCTCAGCATGTCATTGTATAAAATAGTGAATTCTCAAATATTTCCCAACCAATGCTGACCTAGATAAATTTTGAGTACATTATTTAGTACAAAACTAGGTATATATTCCTTGAGCTTCTGCTCATGAAACAAATGCCAACAAAAGTACAAATCCATTTTTCATATGTTCTCTAAATTTAAAATAGCTAGGCTTTCTTTTCTTGAAATGAAATTACTGGCAATGACATGAATATGGTACAGGCCTCTTGGTTTGAAGTGTATGTGTTTATATATTACTGTTTGTCAATTCTGCCATTTTTCCTTTTTTTAAAAAAAAGTTTATTTTTGAGAGAGAGAGAGAGTGAGTGGTGTAGGGGCGGAGAGAGAGGGAGAGAGAGAGAGAATCCAAAGTAGGCTCTGTGCTGTCAGCATGGAGCCCCATGTGGGTCTCGAACTCACCAAACCATGAGGTCATGACCTGAGCTGAAATCAAGAGTCGGACACTTAAGTAACTGAGCCACCCAGGTGCCCCTCTTTTTGAAACTACTGTAAATTTGTTCAGCCCAATATAGCATCTTTTGGCCGTCTCTTAGTACGAATGGATTATGTGTATGCTATTTTCTTCCATTCTTTTCCTATGGTCCCTTCCCCACCATGATTCGTATAGTACATTACTTCATTGACCATGTTAACTTTTTTATGTAAGAGTCTTTATTATGCATAAACTTAGAAACTTGAATCTTAGCCCATGAAAATATCTTTCAGTTGATTATCACTGCAAAAGGAACATTCTCTGCGTGTAACTGAAACAGACTTCGATATGAGCGTGGCAGCAGACGATAGTTGTCATTAGGACTTCAGCAACCTAAGTCATGCTTTCCACTTGACACTAACAAGATCATCAAAGGCTAACATTGTCACTAAATTGATTCAGGGAGAAAGCACAGATCATCCCCCAAAATACTTACAGTAATTATTCGTAGAGTTTATCAGAATAAAAATGTGATAGCCAACTATAGTACAGTTCTTCAGAGTAAGTCCTTGGATGGGTCTGGTAACTATAGTTGAGGTAATGGTGATATATCTAGTGTGGCAAACATTTATTAGATGCCATGCACAGCGCCAGGTGCTAAGGCTCTAAAGATGAATTAGATACAGCTTTTGCCCCTAAGGGAGCTCCTAGGACAAAGCAAATATTAGAGGTTGAGATTGCGTAGAGGAGAGGAGGCAGTATGAGAAAATGCTTGGGAGAAAAAGCTGTATAGGTTATAAACTGGAATATCAAGTTCAACTCACCGAGTGGCCATAATACTGGAGAAATAGGCATGAATCCTGGAAGGCCTACAAGGAAAGTGATGTCCCAAAAGCTCCTAAGAGGAGCAATGACTTGTTATTACTCTAGGTAAGTGGTTTGAAAGAATGAAAGGTAAAGTCAGTACACCAACACTAACCACAAAATAAATTTTTAATTTTTAAAAATTGGGAAAATATAAAAAGAGAATTTGCTAATTTCTCAAGGCTTTCTCTGTGTGCATCTGAGGGCTCTTCTGAGCAGAGTCTAGGTAGAAGACAGCTAGCTCTAACGGAGGCTCCGCAGTGCCGATCAGGGTCGTAGAGTCAAGCAACGTGGGTGCCAGTTACACCTGTCACCGGTTTTCTTTGTGTTTGTTAAATGTTAGACATTTTGCTATTTCTCTTGGGTTACAGTTTGACACTTCAGCATGGTGACAGATTCTTGCCTCTTTCTTCCCTCCGTAGCATTCTCTACCCCAGGAAGTCAACTCTTCTCTCCTCACGGTTCCAACCCTTCAACACCGGCTGCAACTCCAGTCCCCACCGCATCCCCAGTCAAAGCAGTAAATCATCCGTCAGCACTGGCAGCTGCTACCGTTTCTGGGATGAACATGCCGAATACTGTCCTCCCTGTGTTCCCCGGGCAGGTCTCCGCGGCCGTCCATACTCCTCAGCCAGCAACGCCAAATCCGACAGTCATCCGAACCCCTTCCTTGCCTGCGGCGCCCGTTACTTCCGTCCACAGCACAACTGCGGCTCCCGTCCCGTCCGTTTTCTCTGGCCTGGTTCCCCTGCCGGGTCCCCCTGCACCTTCCGTCCCAACCCCACAGGCCACGTCCGCACCTCGGGCCGCTCCTGCTTCCAGCGAAACCTTCGCTTCTACGTCTGCCCCTTTCCCCGGCCTCCCCTTTGCTGCCACCTCTACCGCTGCTTCTACCAACAACCCGAATTCCGCCTCTCTGTCCTCAGTGTTTGCGGGCCTCCCCTTGCCCTTAACACCCACATCCCAAGGCGTGTCCAAACCTGCCCCTCCTGTACTTGCCGGCGGCTCTGCCCCCAGCGTGGCTTGTCCCCTCGGTGCAAACAGTCCTCTTCTGTCTGCTTTAAAAGGCTTTCTGACCTCAAATGACACCAGTTTAATCAACTCATCCGCTCTGTCCTCTGCTGTTACAAGTGGGCTGGCTTCACTGTCTTCTCTGACTCACCCGAACCCTGACTCCCCCGCTCCAGGCCCCGGCAAGTGCTACGCCCCCTCGGCCGTGCCCGCCGCGCAGAGATCGTCCACCCCCGGGTTGGCCATGTTCCCGGGCCCGCCGGCTACCGTGGCCAACTCGGCCTCCACGCCATCTACTTTGCCCGCGCATTCTCCCCTGGTGACGCCGGCGTCGTGTCCCGCCTCCGTGCCGGTCAGCGGGGGCTCGTCGGCTCCGCTCTTGCAGGGCCCCCACCCGGGTAACTCGGAGCTGCACGGCGCGTCCGCCCCCGCCGTCACCACCATCCCTGTCATGATCAAAACCGAGCCCACGAGCCCCACTCCCTCGGCCTTCAAAGGCCCGTCTCACTCGGCGAATCCCCCCCACGGCACTTTAGGTTTGGGGGCGCTGGGCCGCGCGTACACGTCCGCGTCGGTGCCCATCACTCTGTCTACTTGCCTTAACCCCGCCCTGTCGGGCCTCCCCAGCTTGCCCGCCCCCCTGAACGTGTCCAACCCGCTCTCGTCCATCGCTCTCCCGCCGCACGCTTCCTCCGCGCCCATCACTCCGGTGTTCACGGCTCTTCCTCCGTTCACGTCTCTGACCAGTAATTTCCCCCTAACTGGCAACCCGTCTCTCAACCCCTCCGTGTCTCTTCCAGGGTCGTTACTAGCCACCTCGTCTGCGGCGGTCACGTCCACGCCCGTGCCCGCCGCCAGCTCCACCGCAGCCGTGCTCCCGGGGCTTGCGGCCTCGGCGCCGGCCTCGGCGGCCCCTTTCCCCCTTAACCTGTCCACCGCCGTCCCCTCCCTCTTCTCGGTCACGCAGGGACCTCTGCCGGCCTCAAACCCCTCGTACCCCGGCTTCTCAGTCTCCAACACCCCCAGCGTCGCCCCCGCGCTCCCCTCGTTCCCGGGGCTGCAGGCGCCGTCCACGGTGGCCGCCGTCGCCCCGCTGCCCGTCGCTGCCACGACCCCGTCCCCGGCTCCCGTCCTCCCGGGATTCGCCTCGGCGTTTAGCTCCAATTTCAACTCTGCTCTCGTTGCCCAGGCCGGGTATGTGGCTCGTGCGTGGGGAGGCTGCGGTCGTTCTTGGCCCACGTTGTGGTTTAGAGTCTTCCGAGCAAAATCTCATTGTTCGCTGGTGCCGCAGTCTGGTTTTTCGGGGCCGGAGCTTCAGTACCCAGGACACGGGGAGCTCTGCAGCCACGTTGAGAGCAGCGTGTGCAATATTAACGCCCGCGCAGGCAATTGTAGTGTTTGTCATGTGTCGTCATTATAAACCAGCGGGAAGTATTCTATGCAAAACACAGACTTCCTGAATTCAGACTAACATACTGTGTACGAGAAAGTACATTTGCTATCAGTGAGTGGCTGACTTTTAGGATTCCTTCCAACAGAGAAATTTAAAGTTTAAGTCTTAAGGTGGTATTTGACAGATATAGAAGCAATAGCTTTTGTCTTCGCCGCATTTTGACCTATTCTTCTGTCTATTGTTTTAGCCTGTCATCCGGCCTTCAAGCTGCAGGCAGTTCTGTTTTCCCAGGCCTGCTGTCCCTCCCAGGTATCCCCGGGTTCTCCCAGAATCCTTCCCAGTCATCCTTGCAGGAATTACAGCATAATGCAGCTGCACAGTCTGCCTTGTTACAGCAGGTAAGCAGGCAGGGTCCACCGGGAGTTCAATGGCAAGACCCGGAGGTGGCTTCTGTAGTGGTTACCTGGCTGTGCAATAATGGTAGCCCAACGTTGGCCACAAAATGGCTCGTAGCAGAATGTTTGCAGACTTATGATTAATCTCCCCAAATGTGCAGATTATCCTCGTCCTCCTTCAGGAGAGTAACAAAGGTGCTGGGGTCTATTCGTCTGTATGAATTCTTTTCCCGCTTTGAGACTTTCAGATCTTAGTTTAGAGCTTACAAATGGAATCTTCATATGTGTCCGTTAAATTCGAGCTGGTCTTTTATAATTTAAGCTGAAATAATGGACCATTAAAGCATATTTTCTCTAGAAAACTTACTTTTTGGAAAGAATATGAAGTCTTTCAGTGGTATCTCTCATTGCCTCCAGCATCTGAAGTATTTTGAACGTTTATTAAAATTTCGGGAGAATAAGCAGACTTAATCTTGCCCCAGTGTTTGTTTTGTTGTTTTTTTGTTCTTTCCCATTCTAAATATCTGTGGTGGGGTGTAAGCAAAAGCAGGTACAGACTTGAATGAATTTGGCACTTGCTAACCTGCACCTTCTTTCTATCAGGTCCATTCAGCTTCGGCTCTGGAAAGCTATTCAGCTCAGCCAGATGGATTTCCTAGTTATCCTTCGACACCAGGAACACCATTCTCTTTACAACCAGGCTTGTCCCAAAGTGGGTGGCAGTGAATATATTTTCATTTGTATTCTCCTCCGGAGCGACATCGGATATGCCTAAGGACTGCAGTGAACAATCTGACTAATGCGAGGTTGGCTGACATTCTCAGAAAATGAGAATGAGGATAATCTTGGGGAAATTGGGATAAGAGTTTAAAACAATGACGATTACATTTTTTTTTTTTAATTTTTTTTTTTTTTTCTTTCAACGTTTATTTATTTTTGGGACAGAGAGAGACAGAGCATGAACGGGGGAGGGTCAGAGAGAGAGGGAGACACAGAATCGGAAACAGGCTCCAGGCTCCGAACCATCAGCCCAGAGCCTGACGCGGGGCTCGAACTCATGGACCGCGAGATGGTGACCTGGCTGAAGTCGGACGCTTAACCGACTGCGCCACCCAGGTGCCCCGACGATTACATTTTTTAATGGTTTTAAGTATGAACACTCCCCTATGTAAATATGCTGATGACGAACTGTACGGAGAATAGTATTAAAAAGGTGTTCGGGGACTTTTCATCTCCCACCCTATGAAATTTTGAGTCATGTATGTGATCTGTGTGGGAAGAATACTAAAGAGGAGGTTGAACTCTTTATAGCCGAATACAGCCTTAAATCTGCTTGTATAGCATCCACTGACAGAAGTAATAGTTGTGCCTCAGACTCATGGGTTGCATTTGGCCCTGGGGGCATTACTGCCCTTGGAATGCATGAGTGGTTCCCGTTAGCATCGCTGGAACGCAGTACTCCCTATGTAGCCACAGAAGGGAACTTGAAACCCACCGTTATTTCTAACTTCTGACATTTATGCGCAAACATTTACTGCTGAATTTAACTTAATATATTTCAGGTAAGTGAAAATGGTGCTTAATATAGTCTTTAGAATGACTTTCAGGTGTTTTCGACTAAAAATGTATCCAGAACTACTTTCTTACAGAAACGCAAGTAAGGCTTGTGATGATTGGCCTTCGACACTTATTTCTTAATCTCAGCAGTATCCGAGCGAGTGAGGGACATTTGACTGACCATAGGGCCACCTCTATTACTCATTGTACTCCGGAAGCTCTTGGTGAATGTTTACAATCACGGGACATAGTATTTCTATTTGTACTTCAAGTCCAACGCTTCTCCAAAAGTCTGATGTGACAACCAATAGAGAAGACTTGCTCTGTTAGTAAACATGAAGTGTGTGCTCTAAGGGTCTGTGGTAGCATCGAATGTGAGTGAATGTCATTCATTAACGGGAAGAACTGCCACATTCGGGGGGGCGGGGGTGGGGGGTAGTAGGGAGAATGATTTTCAATCTTAAAAGTGTAAACTATAGAATCTACTGTAGTACATTTCAGCATCTAGAAGTTTTACTTTTATAAAGATGGTGTCTGGAAGATGTTGCTAATGTATTTTCCTTCAACACGGGGAACAAACTTTTTAAGTATATTAATAAATATTCCTGTATGGTTAGTTTTTAACAATTTTTTAAAATAAACTTTATGGATATGACAAATATTTTATAAGTGTTTTATTAAGTGCTTTGACAGGCCTTTTAATTGTTCATATATGCTAATACATAGAGCATAATTTTATCCAAATTCAGTTGAAACTCCGCATAGACTACTGATTGCTCATTCCTTTAAATGGTATCTTACGTGAAAGTTCTATTATAACCAACACTAGAAACAAGCTATTGATGCCTTAAATTATCTGCAAACAAAGAAGTAACTGCATAGTTACTCCGAAGCCAGTTGCTGGAAGTTGTCATTTGTTCTAAGTTTACACTTATAAAAATTTTTAAAGATTATATTTTTTTTATATGTTGACCACCCAAAAAAATTTACTGAATGAGTAATCGCTCTATAGTGCTTCCTGCTGCCAGGTTTAGTTTACCATCCAACGAGCCCCTATTCTCACAGCAAAGGAGCTATGTCCTGTTCATCTTTCACGTATCAGGCACTTCAAGTTTATATAAAAATGGAGAGAACATTTCTGGAGCACTTGTAATAATGACTGGGGTCTGGGTTTATGTATCTCATAACCCTCTGAAGGAAGTACTAGCAACTTAATTAACCAGATAAATAAGACAAGATGTAAGTCCAACAGCGAGTAAACGGTAAATTTGAACCACGCATTTAATACCAATACGAGGGTACTTGTACTACCAAGTGCTTTGAAAATACATAGGAGAGGGGCGCCGGGGTGGCTCAGTCGGTTGAGCGTAGTCTCGACCGCTCAGGTCAATGCATTCACTTGTTCGCGAAGTTCGGTCATTCCCCGCTGTCTGCTTTTCCCACGATGGCTCAGGAGCCTGCCACTGCATTCTGTGTCTCCCTCTCTCTGACCCTCCCCCGTTCATGCTCTGTCTCTGTCTCAAAAATAAATAAACGTTAAAAAAAAAAATTTGAAAAAAAAAAAAAAATCTACATCAGGGAGCATTTGGTGGCTCAGTCGAGTTGGCGTCCGGATCTGTGCTCACATCGCGTCTCACGTTCCCCATTGAGTTCGAAGCCCCGGCGATGCTATGAGCCTATGATGGCTCAGAGACTGATCCTGCTTCGGATTCTCGTGTCCTCCCCCTCTGACCTCCCCCGTCTGTCTACTCTGTCTCTCCAAAATAATAAATGCGTTAAAAAAATGAAAAAAAAAAAAAATACATAGGAGAGGGGCGCCGGGGTGGCTCAGTGGGTTAGGCATTGACTCTTGAGTTCAGCTCAGACCAAGATCTCACAGTTCGTGAGTTTGAGCCCCGTGTCAGGCTCTGCGCCTGCTTGAGATTTTCTCTCTCTCTTCTCTGCCCTTCCCCCACTCGTGCTCCTTCTCTGACTCTCTCTCTCAAAATAAATAAAATTTCAAAAAACTATTTAGGAGAGAAGGTGAGTACCTTTCTGCCTGAGGGAGTCCAGAAAGCCTTCTTAGTGACCTAAAAAGTCTTAGGATGAGTAAGAAATAACATCCCTCATGGAGGCCCAGTGTGACAGACTAGGACAACAATATCATCCTGTAACTGGATGGAGTTTGAATGAAGTTTGTAGTTTGGGAGACTCGAAAAAGCAAGGGGCCTGATTGTAAACCATGCTAAGGGCTTGGGCCTTTGTTAGAGGTCAGCAGTTTGAAATAGAAAGCACTTTGCAAAAAATCACTTAGGCTGCAGCACGCAGGTTGGATTAGAGGTAGAACACTGGATGGTTTTTACAGAAATCTAAAAACGAAGATGATGAAGATCTGCATTATGGAAAGGGATTAATGTGCCCTTGAACGTAGGGAAATGTACCTCTTCATTCTCTTTCCATAAAGCCCCACAGTCTCTGTGGGATTTGCAAACACTGTAAATTCATATAATCGGTTAACAATTTTAAGCCTTACCACTTGACTTGGTGAATCTAGTCAAGACTTTATTCCCTCCAAGCCTCATCCTAGATGAGAACGGGCATTGTTGTTTGCGGTGTCCACAGATTGTTAGTGTGGCTACATTGAGGCACAGGTTACGCTCCCATCACAAGTGTATTGCAGGGGTGACGGTGAGACCTGTACCATTTCTTGTAGGCTCATGAGTTCAAAGTGGATGGAACAAGACTTTTCAATATTAGAAACAATTAAGGAATAATATCTTTTACATCACTTGAAAAAATAAAAATCAATGAACTTTCTAGAATTTAACTTCTAGGGCCCTACAGCCAATTGCTTGAAGAAATTGGATTCCAAAGATTACTGGTGGGGACTTTGTGACATATGTCCATATTCAAGTGGAGATCAAAGAAGTCCAACTGAAAGAATTATGGACTGACTGACCATGACAACTGTGGGTTGAGCCAAAGTTGTTTTTAAAAAGGGCTACCTGGGGGCGCCTGGGTGGCACAGTTGGTTAAGCATCTGACTCTTGGTTTCGGCCCAGGTCATGATCTCGGAATCATGAGATTGAGCCCTGGGTCAGGGTCTGTGGTGAGTGTGGAGCCTGCTTGGGCTCCTCTTCCTCTTTCTCGGCATCCCCTCTGCTCGTACTCACTCCCTGTCCCTCTCTCTCAAAAAATAATAAATAAAATAATACAAAGGGCTACCTTGAAGATTACGACAGACCTTGGAGGAACTAAGGCGATTGGTAGTAGGAGGAATCACATGTGAAATTCCTTAAAGTAAAATTTATTGACTTAAAAAGACTTCAAATCAAATTTAATGCGCCTTTGTTGTTCCTAAAGATGACACAAGACTAGTAAACAAATGTCCCATTTGGGTCAGTTAAGAGATAAAATATTGGGCAACACTGGCAAGTCAGTTGCGAAAGAAGATCAAAATTAAAGTATTCCCAGGTCCTTGTATTCAGGAGGGGCATTTTGATACTAAGTAAATATTTACATTTCTAATTTAATTTATATCTGGTAAAAGTTTTATAGTATGAGTTAAAAGCCATTGGTGTTTTTATTTATTATTTTTTTTTTAACATTTATTTTTGAGACAGAGAGCATGAACGGGGGAGGGGCAGAGAGAGGGAGACACAGAATCCACAGCAGGCTCCAGGCTCTGAGCCATCAGCCCAGAGCCCTACGCGGGGCTCGAACTCACAGACCGCGAGATCATGACCCGAGTCAAAGTCGGACGCTTAACCGACTGAGCCACCCAAGCGCCCCGCCATTGGTGTTTTTAACTCCTAATCGATACAGAGGGAAAGTGGAGGAAGATAAAACACCAAGAACAAGGCACAGAAAAGTGGAAGAAACCAGCACATGGTGAGATGTCATACTGTATGTTGGTTTCACAACACTTGGAAATGGAAAGGAGGCGGGAGGCTCAGAAGGCTTTTTAGCCTCATTCTACTGCATAGACTCTTCCAAGAGAATATGAGGAAACGTTCCTCAACTCACTCTTACAGACCAATTTAATACTAAAACTCAGACAAGCGTAGTATGAGAAAGAAAAAATGCAAGTCAGGGGTGCCTGGGTGGCTCAGTCAGTTGAGCGTCCGACTTCGGCTCAGGTCATGGTCTGGTGGTCTGCGAGTTCGAGCCCTGCGTCGGGCTCTCTGCTG